GATATGTCTTTATGCATACTAGCTTAAATGAATGAGGCGAAGTGCAGGAACCAACCACCACAAGTTTGTGCCCAAACTTTATATCCTTTTGTGCACTAAAAGCCTGCTGGTGCTTAGTGTACATTGACAGTCCATTTTCCCTCTCTCTCCATAACTAAGTGGGGAGGTCTTCCTGGTGATCTTTTAAAATAAAAAGATACAGTCTTCACTAAGTGAGCATTGTAAAACAGCCTGTTAGGGAGCTAGTTGCAGGAGAGAGATAGAAAATGTGAATTGGTGTTTTTTGCAAGCATTTAAACTCTGCCTCTGATGAATGTGAGGGCGTTGACTTGTTTGCTTGAAGGAATCTCCTGTGAAGAGGGCATGAATGCAAGTTGCTTTTACTCCTGTTATGGGACCTGTAGGCATCCCCACAACACTGTATGGGTGCAGGGACTCTGGGCTTGATGTTCCCAGAAAGCCAGAGCTTAAATCCTGGAATGGGATTTTGACAGTTTCACAGGTGGAAGGAAGATGGTTAAGTCTCTCGTTAGAGTCTGAGTACTGGCTGAGTTGCTATGCATACACTTTTCTTCTCCCCATCTTTTCACAACAAGTCGGCTTGCTTTGATCTGGGTGTTTTTGTGCCTGGTTCAGTTAGGCACTGACAGAAGAGCTGCAGTTCTTTTAACAGGAGAAATCAGTGAGGATGGCTCTTCCATTTTTCATTTTGCTTTGTGCCTTTATAAAGAGGGTATGGATTTCTGAAATGTCTGTCTCTGTGCCGTCCTTGCTACCATGGTCTAAACTGTGTCTTGAGTAACATTAAAATGTACATTCATTGCTTGTCTTTTTCCAGTAGAGGTAGCAGCCTTTGCAAAAAGGAAAAATTTGCAGTGCTTTGCACAGCCTCCTCTTCAGGAAAACCAATATAGAAAATCTCCAGGGCAGCTCATCAAAACAGATGTATGAAACCTTCAGGGGACACCCTTTTCCCAAAAATAGGCCCTTCCTCTATTACAGGCACAGACATGTTCCTGTAAGCAAATTTTCCAGAGACATATCTGACAAACAATTCCTTCCTCTGTACTCCATGTAATGAAAATCTTCTGCTTCATCCAATTGGGATTAACAGTTCCTGCTTTAAATATGAGTTTGGGCTTGTATTGCAGTAAAAGAATATTTTCCTTCTGGGCTGCAGGAAACACCTTATGCAAGCAGGAATTCTTAACAAGTCCCACAATACCCACATTTGGCACATGTGCATATAATAGGTGTACTTGGAGTCATTCAAGTGTTCAGTAGTACAGTTTGCTTGTTTTACATCTAGATATAGTGTTGCAGTTGCAGAAGTCTCTCATTAACAAAAGTTACTTTTGATGATAGAAAGGAGAATTATTAGTTGTCTTTAAGCTGTTGATCCTGTAGTAGTTTTGCACCTTTCAAACATTTAATTCCTCATCACAAAGGGTACTGCCTGCAGCGCTATCCCACTAAAAAGGAAGAGGAGGAATGCTGTAAGGCTGCCTGCTCTCTCAGTACACCAAAAAGAAAAAGAGGTTCACAGAAGGAGCGAGGCCTGATGGGCTTCCAGCTTTTGAAGTCTGTCAGTCTTCCCTCCACTGACAGCAAAGAGAGGCTTCCCGTAGTTCCTAACGTTGCTCTGGGGAGTTCTGTTGGATAGGGGAGAACCCTGGTCCAAGACTACAAGCAGGTCCCTCTTGAATCTGCTTCCAAAAAAAGACTTGAGGCAGCTGGTTGTTTACCAGCTTCAGGGAATGCTTCAAGCAACATCTTTTGTGCCATCCCACATCTCTGTTTACTTGCCTCCACCTCTAAATGCTGTGGAGCAGCTCCTTTTCCTCTCAGATGGAATCAGTGAACATGCCCTCCTACCTACACCTTGTCTGAATTTTCTCTGTGATCTTATAGTGATTTATGTAAAGGGATAGACAGATATGTGTGGTGGTTTTACCCTGCTACACAGTTGAACTCCACCACAACCACTCTGTCACTCCCCCTCCTCAAAGAAAAAAGGGGAGAAAACACAATGGAAAGGGCTCAAGGGTTGAGATCAAGACAGGGGAGATAACTCACCACTTATTGTCACAGGCATAACAGACTCAGTATAGGGAGATTAATGTCATTTATTGCCTATCGCTAGTGGACTAGAATGGTGAGAAACTAAAAGTAAACTGAAAACACCTTCCCCAAACTGAGCCTGCGGGGGCTGCCCACAGGCAGCAGCTCTTCAGGAACTGCTCCCACACGACTCCATACCCAGGGTCTATCCCCCAGGAGCAAACTGCTCCAGCACAGATCCCCCATGGGTGGGGGCAGCTCCCCCCGATCCCCTGCTCCTGCGTGGGCTCCTCTCCATGGGCTGCAGCTCCGGCCCGGGGCCTGCTCCTACGGGGGCTCTCCATGGGCCGCAGCCTCCTCCAGGCCACATCCACCTGCTCCACCGGGGGCTCCTCCACCCACGGGGGGGCTGCAGCGTGGAGATCTGCTCCATGGGCTGCAGGGGGACAGCCTGCTCCACCAGGGGCTTCCACAGGCTGCAGGGGAACTGCTGCTGCCTGCCTGGAGCACCTCCTGCCCTCCTGCTGCACTCACCTGGGGGGCTGCAGGGCTGGTGCTCACTCCTCTCTCCCAGCTGCTGTAGCACAGCGGTTTTCTCCCTTCCCTAAGTCTGCTCTCCCAGAGGCCCAACCAGTGTCACTCATGGCTCAGCTCTGACCTGCTGCAGGACCCTTTGGAGCCAGCTGGAGCTGGCTCTGAGCTGACATGGGGCAGCTTTTGGGATCTGCTCACAGAGGCCACTCATGCAGCCAATCCACCAAGTCCTTGACAAGTAAACCCAATACAGTGTGGCACTTCTGTAGTCTCCTGCTCCATCCATGTTCGGGATGTTAAGCATCAGATTTTGGTTCTGCTTTTCATGGTAGTACTGAGCATCTCTTAGACTTCAGTAAAGCCATGCCAATAGTAAGGTGATACGTGTTTTGTGTGAGGTGTCGGAATTCAGCACCTAGCAGCTTTCCCTCTAAGGAATACATTTTGTTTTGTTTTGTTTTTTGCTTCCCACCTACCCTTCCCTCCTCAGGGAATTTCACAAATAAATTACTGATCTAGACATAGATGAGCACACTGAAGAGAAGGGTATAAAAATAGTTCGATGCTTGTAAAATGGATCATTTTCACAGCCAAAGTATTTTTGCTCTTGTCTCAGAGGAACATTCAAAGTGCATGGAAAATGTTTTTGCAACAAAAATTATTGGCAATTTTCAGCTAACACAAAAATATTGGAAGTACTTTTCTTTCTGAACTCTATTTGAGTACTACTCAGTTGAATATAACAATATATAGTTGTATTATAGAGCTTATATACTAAATAACATAGGAGAGTACATCAGTTAGAACTGCATTTCCATCTTTCCAATTACACATACTTTGCTTTACAGTATAGATAGAGATCTACCAGTATGAACGTTAAACCAAGATACGTAGTTGTTTTCCCCAAATTCGATTCCAGTGTTTATGGGTTCTTTGTCCTCTTTATAAATATGGCAGGACTGGCTTTGGAAAATCTCAGTTGTCTCTGTAAAAGTCTTCTAAATGTAAATGGAAGGTATAAATCAAAGGCTTGCATTGCTTTTAGAAAGCCTGTACATGAGCTAGTTTTAGGACAGGGAGCAGTCTAAAACAGCAGTACAGAACTTGGAGTGGGCTGCAGACTTTCCCAAGAAGCAGGGCAGATTTACTGTGTGTGGGCATCTCCATGCTTGCCTGCAAACAGTTGTTTAATCATGGCTCTATTTTGTGATTGTTTGGTGGCTATTGCATTTCTGAAAGGAAACACAAATTAGCCAAAGTCTCTTATGCCTTCAGCCAGACAAACTTGCAAAATCCCACAAGCCTCTACTTGTTCTTCCATGAATCTCTGCTACTATGAGGAATATGAAAATGAATGTATTGCAGAGTGAACCCATTTCACTGATCTGTTGATTCTCATATAGGTTACAAACACGCAGTATCATTTACATTTCAGTGACACTCGGAAGTTAGCCATAGAGATACAAGGGATGCTTTCGGTTAAACCTAAGAAAGCCCAAGTTAAGACTTTTAAGTGCTGGTACTGGGCTGAAGATACCACATTTTGCATTGACAGCTGCTTTTGAGAGCCCAGAGCAGTAGGAGTTAAGCTAACAGGTTCTCTGGTTTTGGTCCTGGAATTGTGACTTTAGGCTGTGGCAAAAACTTCTTTTGATATTTAAACATTCCCAGTCTTCACTCCTGCACTCATGCAGTCCCCTGTGTTACTGCATCCCAATCAGTGAACTAAACTGGGGAGCCAATCTAGCTGAAAACCAAAAATAAGAGATGTGGTCCTTCAGCCAGGTTGGTGTCATTTGTGTGCACAACCAGCTGTGTGGCCACAAAGCAGGAGCAGCGCTGCTGCAGGAGTGAGTTGGGCAAGGGCTGCTTCAGCTGCTACCACTGCTGGAGACAGGGCTGTTGAGACACAGCCTTGCTGCTCTTCTAAGAGGGAGAAGGTGTAGGAAGAGAATAATCCATGGCTTTGGGGGATGTCTAGCAGAGAAGTCACATGGATGCCCTTTACCTTCTATTGGAGACTGTCCTTTTCATACAAAAATACTTGATTACTGCCTTTCCACTTTGCAGGCAAGCTTTGCAGCTATTACCACATCAAAGATTACAGTTTAGATTAATCATATCTGTGTTTGAACTTAGTGCTCTCTCGCCATCATAGCTGTGATGGAGGAAGAGAAACAGGCTGATTTTTCCTGTTAAATTTGAGGGTGACAGATCAACTGCTAGTCCTTCCTTACTTGTCTGATAAACGGCCCATTTAGCCTGCTCAGATGTTTCATGATAGACTGCTTTACTCCTTATTGAGATATCTAATGAAGAGGAGACTTAAGCAGATATGATATTACTTCTTTGATAAATATGTGTCAAGCATTAATAGACAAGGTTTTACCCTCCTTATTTTCCAGGGTTTGTAGTAGGATTTTTACTCAGGCATATGTTGCCACTCCACACTGCCAGATTATCTCTGGAAATACCATGTTGTCTCCCATACAAGTTCAGCAGTCCTGGAGCAGGACCACTGATATGCACAGAGATGATCCTGTACATAACATCCAGGTATGTCAAATGTGTGTATTGCATTCTCCAAGGATTTCAAACACTTTTCTTTGGATGGGAGCTTCTACTGAACTGAGCTTCTTAGGAAGGCTAAGTAAAGTGCCTGTTTTTCTCTTCACGTGTTAAATGATTCATTTAATGACATTCAGCAAGCCCTTGTCACTCACTGTCCTCCCCAGTCCTGCTTCCCCTTCTGATACCTGCCATAGTCAGATATGTCTGATGTTTGACAGAGATGAACACGTTAGTTTAGACAGGTCAAGCAACTCTAAATAAGGTAACTTGAATTGATCCCATTTTTGTAGCTGAATGAATTGCCACCTCTGCATCTCCACAGGCTGAAAGCTTGCGCATTCTTAAATGTTTTTTATGGGAGCGGTTTAAGCTAGTGGGTTTTACCATATTGCTGGTATGGCTAGAAACATGGACATGGTTGGTTTCCACAGTTCAACTGATGGATGGAAGCTCTGTAATTCAAGCATCACAGTATGTGACTACGCTTAAATTTCATTTTTGGCATTGTCTGTAATTCTTGAGATACTCTTCTTGCTTGCAAGCAAAAGACCAGATAGTTCTTTCTGTCTGTGCATTGCTTCCTTGAGCCTGTTTTTACTGTTGCTTTCTACCACTTAAAAACAAGTTTGCCCAGCTTGTGCTCTCTGGAGAAAGCAGAAAGCATGCAGGTGTGCTTGTCCTGAATAGCAAGGGCACAGCTAGTGAACATCATAGATACTGTGTGTCTACAGGTGTGTTTATAACACGAGACAGGGTACATTTTCACTGAGACACAGGTTTGGTTCATTTCTTGATTAAAAGTAAAAAAGAGAAAGCCAGTGATTTCAACTTGGTCCATTTATTCTTTTAGTTGATGACATTTACAAGCTATGCAACACTTGGAGCTGGGACGTCTGTTCCTCAGTGATGCAGGGATTTTTTATGCTATAAGCCAAATTTAACTGTTGTGATCGTTTTCCATCAGACTTTCAGTACTGAAGGGATCAAGTTCATCTAGATCAAGTCAATGTTTCGTGGTATTCAGTTTGAGATTTACAATGGAGGCCCTTGTAAGGGCTGGGGAGTGAAATGGATGACATGTCAAAGATGGTATGAAGCTGAAAGAGAAGTGTCAAGTGGAAACTGGGCAGAGTGGTGGAACTGTGAATCCTCTCCAAGTCTGTCCTATGTTTCTATGATTTGTGCAGCATGTCTAGGGGGTTAACGAGTAAGGCTGACCATGCATGAGGTTGGTACCTTTGTGCTGAAAATAGCTTTCAGGCAGATTTTACATCTCCCTTGTGTTTACCAAGTAACTTCAGATGATTCCATGTACAGGATTTGCAGCTCAATGCCAGCAAATGCCAAATCAAAAAGAAAGTAGATAGAAAAAAAGAGTGAAAGAACAGAAAAAAAAGACTGAAAATGAGAGTAGTTACCATTAAAAACAAAACAAAACAAAATGCACAAAACCCATGATCCTGTCGTGGTTCCGCTCGAGTGGGCAGCCAAGCTCCACCACAGCTGCTCTCTCACTCCCCCTCCTCAAAGAGGAATGGGGAGAAAATATGTGAAAAGGGCTCAAGGGTTGAGATAAGGACGAGAAAATCACACAATAATTAGTGTAACGGGCAAACCAGACTCAGCGTAAGAAGATAGTAAGATTTATTGCTCATTACTAACAAGCTAGAGAAGTGAGAAACAAAGGAAAGAAACCAAAAGCACCTCCCCCCCATGCACTCTCTTCCACCTCCTCCCCCCGAGCGGCGCAGGGGAATGGGGGAATGGGGGTTATGGTCAGTCTACAGCGCTTCTTCTCTGCTGCTCCTTCTCGGTCACTCTCGGCCACTGTGCTGTGGGGTCCCACCCACGGGATACAGTCCTTGACAAACTGATCTGGCGTGGGCTTCCCACAGGCAGCAGCTCTTCCAGAACTGCTCCAGATATGGGTCCGTACCACGGGGTCCATCCCTCGGGAGCAAACTGCTCCAACCTGGCTCCCCCACGGGCAGCAGCTCCTGCCAGGTCACCTGCTCCTGCGTGGGCTCCTCTCCTTGGCTACAGGTCCGGCCCGGAATCTGCTCCTGGCAGGGGTCTTCCACAGGCAGCAGCCTCTGTCGGTGCAGGGCCACCTGCTCCACTGTGGTCTCCTCCATGGGCTGCAGCATGGAACCCTGCTCTACCGTGGTACTCCATGGGCTGCAGGGGGACATCCTGCTTCACCATGGTCCTCACCACAGGCCGCAGGGGACTTCTGCTCCAGCACTTGGAGCACCTCTCCCCCTCCTTCTACACTGACCTTGGCGCCTGCAAGGCTGTTTCTCACTCCTCTCACTCTCCCAGCTGCTGTGTGGCGCAGTGTTTTTTTCCCTGTCTTAAATATGCTCTCACAGAGGCGCAAAACATCGCTTATTGGCTCAGCTCTGGAAAACAATGGGGCCGTTCCCAAACATGGGGCAGCTTCTAGATCTTTCTCACAGAAACCACCCCTATGGCCCCCTGCTACCAAAACCTTGCCACGTAAACCCACTACAGATCCATAACAGTAATAGGGTTGCCAGGTTTAATGGTCATGCTTGTTGCACAACTCAAGGCAGCACTGCAACTGGGAGAAGGGGAAGTAACGCTCTGATTCGTGTTGTGGTGAGTGTTCAAGGACATCTTCAGAAGATACACTGATTTTATATGTGATGCTGCCAAGGTCATCTTTGAGGAAAATCTCCAGAGAAACGTATTTATTGCTAATCGTTCCTCCCCAGTCGAGTTTGACTGCCTGTGTCCCCTTTACCTGTTATAATGCAGCTGCAGAGGCTGCAGCTCCCCCTTTGCAGCAAAGGGAGTGAAGAAGATGCAGTTCCTCCTTGCTCCTTGTCCTGCTGCTCTGTGCTGTGCTGCAGGCTGATGCTGTGCTGGGCAGCAGGAGCTGCACAGACTCTGTGCTGGAAGCCTGCACCTCCAGGAGACCTGGTGCTGCATCCTCAAGGATCAGCGGAGAGCAATACAGCGCTGCTGCCTGGGGTGTGCCAAGTGCTGAGATCCTGAATATTCAGGCTAAACGCCGTGGCTTAATGCAAGGGTGAGAAATCATAAAAAGGAGTGCTCTTTGCTGTCTCTGCCTTTCTCTCTCACAATATTTTTAAGATGGCTGAGTTGTGCCAAAAGATACAAGTTGTCTTTGAAACAATTCTTAAGTGTAAATGTGACATTTCCTCCACTAATCACACTTTCTTCAGGTGAAAGATAATAGAGTTGTCTGACTAGCTCAGCCCTTGGTCTTTGCTGGAGTAGTTACTCCAGAATGAATTATATCCATAGTGGTAGTTTTGTAATTTCTGCTCTTTTTTTTTGCATTAAGCGCTCAGCTCATTTAGCATCTCAGTTTGAATGTGAAAATGTTCTAAGAGGTGAAAGATCAGTGATTTATATGTAGTACCCAGCATCCTTCTCTGTAGTCCTCATTTTACTTTGAGTTGATGTCACAGCAGATACATCAGTGCAGTGAACCTACTGTATTTTTTCCCAAAACATTAAAAATCCATGCTAATTTCATGCCTGCTAATTCTCAATCACAGGACATCTTCAATTAGAAGTTAAATGATAAAGTAGTGTTAGCATGGATGGTATATAACCACAGCTGATTACTTTTTTTATTATTCATTTTTTATGTTTGAAAATCCACGTATGTGTGTGCTCATTTCCATCATCTTCTCTAACCAGAAGCAAGCCATTCAATGTCTCTAGCCATATGGATTTCACATACCACTCCGAGCAACCCAGTCTTATATGGTAATGACTCAACAACGTACTGAATCCAGTTAGCAGCTTTATAGATCGTTACTCAAAGTATCTCGTAGTTAAGTTTCATAACAGTCCCAGTTGGATTATCTCACATTCTCCATGTAACTATTCATTAAAGGCAACCATGCCTTCGATCAGCAAAGGAGTGATTCACAGTTATTACTTCTTTCTCTCGATCCCCACACCCTACTTCTAGCCAGCCTTGCTTCTCAATATGTGAACGCCAAACAGTCAGCTTGGGCTGCTATCTCACAGTATAGGGGAGTAGTTAAAGGCAGCGATCGTGAACAGATTAATCTTTAATGGGAGTAATCTCTTAAGCATCGCTGCTGTGTTTGATGAAATACCAAGAGTGAGCTAACAGGCAGAGCTCCCTCTTTGCAGGGCCTGTATTACATTTACCAGAAAGGAGAACTTTGCTTGCATGGAATGAAACTTATGCTAGAGCAGAGGCCCTATGAAGGACCTTACACTTGTAAGGTCTGCTTAAACCATTCATCTCAGACTTAAGTGGTGGCAAAAGAGCTTGAACTGTTGCAAAGCTCAGTTGGCATAGCTGCATTTGCTTACCTCTTCTCATGCTATCTTGAACACGTTCTTTCATTTCCTAACCGAAGTGGTGGATCATCATTTTTAAGAAGAGGATCCGACTGGCTGCTTCTGCTGATCAGTTTTAAAAACACTGCTACCCAGGGAGCCATCCCTCTTGTTTTGTAAAACGTCAGCTAAACCCTCAGTTGGCATAAAGAGATGTCATTCCATTGCCTTCAGTGGGAATAGGTCAGGAGATAGGACTCAGCAGCATTTGGGAACAGCCAGACATATCTTTTTTCCTTTCCCTTACATCCGAGTCTCATTTTGAACATAATATTTTTACATGATCTTTTTACATGAATGTGCTTTAGTGCTTATGTGAATTCAGTGAATTGCCAACTTGTGATTTTAGCCTCTGTTTCCACATGCATTTCTCTTGCCAGCATAAGGTTTATGCTGTTCTCACCCCCCGCACTGAGCTGGCACAGTGACTGGTGTGGCTGTTCAGTGAACCTGATTGGGAATCTAAGTCTTTATTTTTTTTCCTAACTGGTCATTTTTCAACCACATCAGCTCCCTGGTGTGCTTCATCACACATGCAGCCAGTCAGACAGATGTGCTGGTTGCGTACAGTAGGGCAAATCTGAGAAGGAGGGAAAAGGACTTGGAGATGG